TTAAGTGCTGTTCCAAACCAACGAGTGTGGAGCGGTGTGGAGGGGGCTATCAAGCCCTCAAACTGCGAGTCTGCATCGGTGTTGACTGGAGATTGGTCTCTACCTGACCGGTCTCAACGCTGTGTGTGTCCGTCAGGAAACAAGCTGTTAACAAGTAGTTCCAGCAAACATCCACTGATAAATTGCGATGTTAACAACCTAAGGATAACCTCATATGTTTTTAACTTAGGATCATACCTGTGTTTAGTCTGGAAAAAGATAAATGTGTGCATTTTATTATAAAGTTGTGTATATTTACAGACCGTTGCAAAAACTAAGAAGCTTATAAACATCAGGTTTAAAACTAAAAGAGCTTTACAAAAAAGTAACACAATGAAAGATTTTTGGAGTTTTATTTGAGTTATTAATTTACAAACTTTTTGTCTAAGAGATGCTGATTTGAAACCGTTGTTACATACAGTTACGGCATTTCCTGTTTCTGCCGGAGAGAGGGGAGTTTGTCCCAAAGCTTGTTGCTGTATTTACTCTCTCCATCTGACAGGAGGGAGCCTCGTTGAGCTGCGAGTGTGGCTCCAGACGGAGTTCACTCCGTCACGGAGGGGTAGGGTTGAGGGAGTGGTTTGGGATTGGGCCTATATTTCCTTTATCTTGTAATATAACGTGATAGATTTAAACTCCGCACACTGAGCTCTGATTGGTCAGCAGGCGGTGCTTTCACTGAGTTGATTGATTTTCTATAGACGCCGGAGGCGGGCAGCGTCAGGTAAAAAAAAGTTATTTAGCCTTCCCAAACCTGAGCCTCACGCGCCGCCTACGTGGGTACATGTATCATTGTTATTATACTTTATTTCCTTATCTATTAATTTTTTTTAAATGATCTTTTACATTACTTTATTTATACCTATATATGTATTTATTTACTTTACGTAGGACCGGGAGGGGGGGAAAGGGAAAAATATAGACTGTATAAATGTAACTCATTGTGCCTGACTCAATAAAAAAAGATATATAAAAAAAAAAGAGGTAGGAGTAGCTAGAGAATGTTCTTGCGAATATTAGAAAAAAACAAAATAGGGGTAGGAGTGGCTGGAGGGCCTTCAGCTCTCATTAGAAAAACACTGAAGTCAGTAGAAAATGTAGCCAACATAGAAGGAGCAAGTCTCAAAATAGAACACATTGTCAAAACATTGGGATGACAGTTTGAAGATGGAACAGCAGGGGTTAGGACTGTCTCAGTATAAAAAGGAGAAAGCACGTTCACATCATTGGTCCAGTCATCCGGAGACTGGCCCGGGTTCTCATTCTTTTAAGAATAAAACTATATGCATCAAAAAAACAAAACATTGATAGAACATATCTAGAAAACGTTTTGTTTCACTTTGTTTTTAATTAAATAAAAAAAAACTCTTTTAATTGTTTTTATGATATGGGCAAATAATTATTCCTTTGCTGCGACTGCACACACAGTAGAGCTATGATTATGGATACAGTACAATAACCTATACCTGATTACCGGAAATGCATTGTAGAGAAGGTCTGTAAGGCATGTACTATAACGGGTAACCGGCAGACACTGCTTTTTCTTTTGCTGTGTAAATGAATCTCATGGGTCTAATGCAAATGTCCTCTCCACACTAGTGTTGGGTACTCAATAATATAGGGGTAATTTTCTCCCACTGACGTGATGTGTGCAGGCCTTTTAAAGCTTACCTTCTGGGGAACATCTTTGATCATATCGTACATGTCCTTCACCATGGCCTCGGTGTAGGTCTCAACAAAAAGTGGCGGTTCCACCTGTCGGAGACAATGCAATGTTAGCGAATCACAATCATTCTGACTAAAACCCAACTGTGGGTCTAAAGTAGAGCTTGCCCTCCCATGAGGATGTAACAGCTGTTATATTGCTTTCTGACAAACAGAGTGGCAGCCTTGCTATCCTTTGCTTGTTTACACAGGTGGGCGAAACAATGTAACTCTTGGCCCGGGGGTGGCCTGAACGGATAGACTTAACTACATCACACCATACATACATTTCTTAAAACATTTATTTGATAAGCTTCTTACTATGAGTAAAAGCAAAAACACGTGGGTTTGCTATCCTGGCTCCAAAATGGTGGAATGAGCTCCCCATTGAAATCAGGACAGCAGATAGCTTGCACATCTTCCGGCGCAGACTGAAAACTCATCTCTTTCGACTCCTTATATGATTCTGTTTTCTTCAAGGTTGTATCTTCCTGGTAGAATGTACTTACTGTAAGTCGCTTTGGATAAAAGTGTCAGCTAAATGCAATGTAATAATTAAAAAAAGGACTTTGGTAGTCTGAGGGGCAGGGGCTTCAGAAATAAAAAGCATCAGCTGCATGCCAGGGGCACCAGTAGCCTACTTAACGTTGAAAAAAAAAATTGCAGCCTCCCATGTAGGACTGCATATATTTATCAATTGATGGAATTGTGGAGTCATATTGATTTGTTTGAAGCGTCGATGCAGTACAGCCTCACATGACCACAGTGCTTCTTAAACCATAGCTCTACTTATTATCTGGACCCACTGACCAACTGACCAATCCACGGTCCACCTGACCAGCTGACTGCCATCAATGGCTCCTCTCAAAAGCCTATGAAGTCATAAACAAGTATTACACCATGGTTTTGAATGTAGGCTGAGAACATATAATACCTTCCATCCAGGAGACAACGTCACATTAGGAAACTTTTCCTGAACCAACTGCAGAAAACTGGAAAAGAATGATGGAAGGAGAGGAGAAAAACGACAGGCACTTTATTTAATAACCTTTTAATAAATAACCTTTAGCATATTCGATCAATCAAAAACGTTATAGGCTATATATATCTGTCAAGATATTAGTTTTTGTGTTTATAGTTTCCTTTTTTATTGTATGTATTTTCTCCTGTCTTACTTCCTGTGTTTTCCCTCCTGTTTGATTGTCTCACTGTTTCCACCTGCTGCCCCTGTGTCTCACCCCTCCCCAGCTGTGTCTTGTCTTGTGATTAGTCTTGTGTGTATTTAGTGTTGTCTCCCCTATGGCGGTGGTGGCGAAGTCCATAGGGACTTGGCTTGGCAACAGAAAGGTCACCAGTTCAAGTCCCGGAAAGACCAAGTGCTACCGAGGTGTCCCTGAGCAAGGCACCGTTCCCTACACTGCTCCCCGGGCGCTGTACATAATGGCAGCCCACTGCTCCTAACACTAGGATGGGTCAAATGCAGAGAAACCATTTTGTTACATAGTTCCTGTACTACGTAATGACAATAAGTTGAATCTTCTTCTTCTTCTAGTCGGTTTGGCGTTGTTTTTTTATTATTATCAGCTTTTTTGCCATCTCATTTCTTAACTGCACCCGGGTCCAACTTCTTGCTAAATCCTGACAATATCACCATTATTACAAAGTACAGAATGTAGCCTATACTGTACGTCTTAGACCATCGCAGTGCTATAAGCATTATCAAATACCAACATTGAGAGAATCCATAAAAACATATCTGAAAAAGATGGATCTACAAAGATTGTTGAAATTAGAGGATAAAGCCTGAAACCGAGCCAACAGGAGGTGCAGAGCTCTGATTTACTCTCAGATCACTTGAATAACAATATTCTGTTTGTCACAATTTGCCCAATGATGCCAAAAATAGGTTGTCTACCCCAGTATTATAAAAATGTTGTAGTTAATGTTGTACTGTATGTCACTTATACCTTTTTCTTAAAATTCTATAATCATCCTATTATTTGCTGTGGCATATTCCACATCTCCCCAGATCGCTTATGAAAATCTAAATCTAAAGATATCTTTGTCAGTTAGTATATCAAATGTAGCAATAATGTGCGAAATACATGTACAATACAAGCTCTGAACAGCAAAGACTGACGGACAGACAACATCAAATCAGCTTGTTCACCTGGTTCCATTGACTGTAGGCAGGAAGGCTGGTGCGTTGGGACCCAGGAGGATGTCTGCATTCACCCATACGGGCCGGTTGATCCCTCTGCTACTGTTCTTTGACTTTTGACTGAGCAGGTCCAATGACAAACCCACTGATCTCAGAGTCTTAAAATCCAACTTCATGCCTGCAGGGACACAGAGCGCTAACACCTGTGGGATGGACACATACTGTAAAGGCCCATGTGTTCTACTGAGTACCTTTTCTAGAGGCCAGCACTGCATCCATCCATTGGTCCAGAGTGTTGTCACTATAGATGTCAGGAGGGTGGGCCATGATGGGGATTGGATTCTCATTGGCTGTTCCATAACCCTCCAGAGTGATGTCAGCCTCCAGGATCATAGCATCACCTGATAGGACGAGAGGAGGGGACAGTGTAGACAAATCATGTGTTAAATTTAGCATTATGTTGCTACAGTATGTAAAAGTCTTCTGTTGGCTATCTGTCTGAAGTGGATTTAGCCTCAGGGGGCAAGGGCCAATATTTTGGGGTTTCAATGATAAGAAACAAGACTTCCTTTTGGATTGTTTGTAGTCGGATTAGCAAATTGAAATGCATAAATGGTGTAGAGACAAGAGATAACATTTCAATAATGGACAAGCTAATCTTTAACTAATAAAAAGCTTTATTGTTGTCAAACAATAGTCCATGGGTTATAGGATTTCTTTTGGCCAATGTGTTTGGTCCAACTCACACCCAGACCATACATCACCTTTGTAACCACCTGTCAGTCACAAGGTAATCAAATTTGCTGCCTGGCACAATTAGTCAATACTAATTGATTACAAATGTAATCCATATCTTGTCCTGTAGGCTAACGCAGCGTCCACATGGCGGCGTGCGTTTATGCTGGTGGGCGTGTCTGAAACTCGACCAACAACCAATCACATGAATCTCCCGCCCCGGACACACAAGCACGCGGTTTGATTGGCTAGAGCTTGTTACTGGCATATGATTGATTGGCCGACGCTATCATTCGAAGCTTCAAAAGTTGAACATTGCTCAACTTTGAAGCGAGTCAACTGGCGAGCAAAGCGAAAAGCGACGCGACCACAATGAGTTCGGCAAAGCGCTGACGTCACCCCATTCAAATGTGAATGGGAAGAAGCGTTGGAAGCTTCAACGCACGCCAGCCGTGCGGGACATGTGCCAGTGTATGGTACTGTATGCCACTGAAAAAACTGAGTGTGTGAGTTTACTGTGAGTGCTTGCTTTCATTTCCTCTTGCTGTTAGCTCTGTGTTGTGGTATCGTGCATGGTAGCCATCAAAGCCCGTCAGGAGAGGCTGAATCACGCTACGTGAATCCAGAGAGCTCAAGTATGGTCGTGCCACCTTAGTAGAAAACGAGAAGAGCAGTAGAGAATTTCTGATTGATATAAAAGACAAACACAGGCTTAAACTTAGACATCATTATTATCAAAGAGGAGAAAAGGGGATTATGTATCCTCTTTTGCTTATGTCTGTGTTTTAGGTGAGTGGGAGGGGTCTTCCGTAATGACTTTGTCTATCAGGAGATACTTCAGTCTTTACTTTTGTCCCTAGTCAAATTCATCCCAACTGAATTAGAAAATGACTTCCGAACTGCAGGATCAGAGGTTCAAGAGTCTGGCCTTGAGCTCCAGCAAGAGGGTCAAGTTATACGACTTCGTGGATACTACATTTCTGATACCAGCCAATAGCATCTTTTGTCAGACCCTCACTC